GTGTGGGAGTGTGGGTGTGGGTGGGTGTGGGTGTGGGTGTGGGTGTGTGTGGGTGTGGGTGTGGGTGTGGGTGTGGGTGGGTGTGGGTGTGGGTGTGTTGGGTGTGGGTGTGGGTGTGGGAAACGAGAAGACTATCACACAGACGTGCATCCACACCGCACACCCACACTCACACCCCAGACATCATCTAATTTTTTTTTAATTTTTACAGTTCAAAAATAATAATCAAAGAAAACATTTTCAAAACGGAAATATTTTTAAAAAGCTTTGTTCATATTTATTTAATATGAATATATTTTACTCATTATATAATATTGATCGATTTTGGATTGATTTTTTGAGAATAATAGAGACTATACAAAGTGAAACCATTCAACGTTGTTCGAATCGAATGATTCTATTACTATTCTTTGATTCCTTTCTCAGTAGTAGTGAAGTTTGTCGTAACTACTGGAGATGCTAGTCGACGACGTCGAATAAAATCGGATATCCGTTGACTGATATTAGTATCATGCCATACTTTGGAGTAGAAAGTTGATGGTGATATATATAGCAAAAAGCTGATTGACTGAGGAATGAATGAAGCCAAGTAAGAAGCAATCAGCAGATATCGCAACCAGCTATGGGCCAAATTTTGACAGTTAATAGAGAAAGAAACGATGAAAAGTGGTAGTGAGAACAACTGTGGAACGAGAGTGATACCCGGTCCAACTATTAGATCTTTATTTTCGCACAGAACATCGCGCACAAAACGAAGACGGTTCTGAAAGCCGATCGAAGTTGTCATCATCGTGCTAATTTCGTTATCTAAATCAATGAGTTTTATGCTACATACTTTATTTAATACTTTTCATAACAATTAAATGCAAAACTAATAAACTGATCTGATGGTAATGTTTTTTTGTTTTCTACTCTTTTCTGCTGATTTTGTATTGTCTGAAATGTAATTTAAGTGAATTCTTCGCTAATATTACTAACAAATTGTTTTGAATGCGTTACTGCTATTCTCAAACTAATTAGATTAGTACTCACATATGGTTTTCATGTTGAGATTGATCTTCTTCTTAACAACTATATAGCTGATCGTAATCGTGCAGAAGAAATTAATCAACAATGGTAAAATGGAATTCGTAATCGAAACAATCAAGTGAGAAAGCATCCACATAGATCGATGGGTGATCGGAAAATCGGACACACACATAGCACCGTTACCAGTCTTTATACCGGGAAACGATTTGACGAAAATAAGCTCGTAAACATTCGTAATTAAGACGACGGCAAAAATTAGAGCGATAAAGCACCGAGCAATGTGTGGCTTCTTGAACCAACGTCTGTTGAGAAATAATGTCATGTAGACACGTTCAATTGCTATGAATGATGAAAGCCAATATATTATTCGACTAAATGATACGAGAAAAAAATTGAGTAGTTTACAGAGAATGTTGTCAATTATAGGATCTGGACGAATACTCGTTATATTGTTCGCTAAATGGATCAGACGAATAGCAAGAAGGCCTAGACTAATCTGATTGATGATACTCATGCAGAACAAGTATTGACTGATGCTGTTGCTCAGACATTTTGGACGACGAAAAGTAGCGAAACAGAAAAGATTGTTTGGTAAACAGAGGAGAAATAAGAGAAGAGGGGCAATGATTAGTAACCAAAAAGTGGTTCGCCAATTGCTCGAGGTGAGATCCACAAAGAAGAGTTCGTCTAGAGTAAAGGCAAAAGAATTCAAATTGAACTGACAGCTTGAACCTGAATGACATAGTGGGCACAAACATATAAAATCGTTCGGTCGTAATCGATCTCCTTTCAAACAGTAGCCTCCTGCCAAACAATGGGAACAATGATCAAGATCGTCATTATAACCGAAACATTCAGCACGAGAATAGTTGTCAGTACAGATACAAATATATGAATCGTCTCGAAAGCATAAAAGAGTTCTATTGTTCTGACAGTGATGATGATATTCGAATGGAAAATTATCTGAAATGAATTAAATAAATATGCACATCCACTGCATTAGATCAAATGTAACTACGTACCTGATCTATGAATTTCAATGCATAAATTTCTTTCATTCACATGGCTTGTTCCATAGACTGAAGTGACGTCAATATGAAGGGAGAGTAAATAGATCTTACGTTTAATGTTACTCTGTAAAGAGTAGAGGCTGGCTAAAACAACGTCTGGTGTCTTCATGTCATCTTGTCGATATTCCAATAGAGTAGGAAGTGACCGTTTGGCTTGTTGATGAACGAGAATTAGACTAAGGGATGTGGTATTAATGTCAAAGTATTGTACAACAGCTGCTTCATGGTCGTCGCTCTGATTAATAAACAACTGAATTTCCGGCTTCTTCAATTCGCAAGTCGACCCACGATACTGATCGGTACATAAACATGCAAAACTGTTCGGTTTTGAAGTTGGAAAATATGAGCCGTTATTCTTACAAGGACTTGAAATACATTGGTCATGTACAATACCGCAGCGTTCACCGTACTTATTGAATGGACAGATGCAGTATGGCAAATTGTTACCCTTCAGTAAATGCTGATAATTTGGTTTACACAAAGATCGAGACGAACAGTAACCATTGATACAAGACCGATCTTCAATTGAACAATCCTCTCCTGTAAAATTACTCTTACAAAGACATATGTACTTAGATCTTTCATTGATAAGTTGGAAACATTCTTGATTTCGATTGCATGGACTGCTTGAACATGGATTTCTACCTAATATATTGGGTTTAACTAATCGAAGAATTTTAGCGAATCGAAATACAGGTAAATAGTCAAAGTAAATAGGGTATTGCCAAACTGCCATAAGTGATGGTGTTAAATCATCAATTCTTTGGTACAATTCAATGCGAACCGAGTATGGTTGATCGACTATGATGTTAGATTGATTAGAGTATCGTTTTCGCCTATGTTGAATATGCTTCAACGAACGAGAGTAGAAAAAATAGGCCAACTTTTTTTTATAAATAACAATTTCAACGGCCGGTCGGATATGAAATTCTTGTGCAATGAGCGTTTCATTTTTGAAAATGAATAAAAGAAGTAGTTTCAGCACGATCTGATGATCACTATCTTGAGTATAGATCGATTCAGACAAATCCATATGAAGACGAATAGTCACACGATCGGTGTGAAATTCACAGTTGTCACCGTGATATTGTGGCGGACAGAAGCACACTATTGAACCATTGTGTATGTGTACACCGACGCCACGATTACACCCATAAGAAATCTCCGAAGACACAAATTGAGGTGAAATTGTTACTGTTGAAGTCATTTGTTTCGTCGAATTCAACTCGCCCTTATATTTAGTCGTGTTTATATCGTTCGGAAATGGAATTAGTCTAAGTCTGTGATGTATATTCTTTACAGCTATTTCTTTTTCTTTACGATAGAGCGTACTCATATAACCTTGTGTATCATTGTAATAACACATATATTCATCTTCGCCGAAAGGACCATCTGTAATTCCATTGCATCTAGATTTTTTAATGCGTGTACCATTAAAACAAACAAAATTGTTTAATGTAATACAATTTGATGAGTTCTTTTGACGATTACACCAAAATCCATCGTCAGAATGATTGTTACATCGGTCACAAGAACAATGTTTCCAATATGGAATGCATTGGTTGCTCGATACACACTTAAAACTGTTTCCAAGCATTGAATGTTCATAACAATGTTCATCAGTATTACGTTCATCGATAGCACCATAGCAATCGACCCGACCATCTCCGAGTTGATGCCTACCGATGCAAGGACGTTCATGTGTCAAATTATTTAGTGGATCAGACACATTTATACGAAAGCATGGAAATTCTTCTATCGGATGACAAATGGTAGAAAATGGTAGAGCTTTATAATATTTGAGAAATCTATTTTTGAGTTCATCAAGTCTAATAACCTGTCTATTTCGGTCTGATATAAATTGGTCGAACGGTTTTTCTTCATCCGATCCATCGGAACAGTCCCATTCTCCATCAATAACCCATTTCTTATCAATACACTGTCCGGTACGACATTTCCATTTGTCCTCAGAACATTCCCAGTAATGTTGACATTTGGTCAGGTTCTCATCTTTCTTTGAGTCAAGATTCCAAAATGTGTCACAGTAGCTACGAAATGGAACTCGTAAAAGTAAATCAGAGTCATTCTCATCGTTTCTTGTCCATGATTTTTCAATATATTGCCGAAGAAGATGACACTCGTTCTTCAGTCGACTATTGCAATTCATTTCTGATAAGCTTTCATGGGTACCCATCCACAATTCATCGAATTTATTCGCGCAATCATTCTGTAGGTCTCCAATAACAGTAACTCTAAAACATGTCGACTCCTCGACAGAACAACGAAAACGATGACGATGCAAGCTTGAACAGATCACTGAAGTAAAATTATTTTGTGTCTCATCCATTTTATCTACACAATTCTGAATGCCATCACGGATGCGATAAACTGAAACACATTCTCTCAATCGATTACAAACATCGATAAAATTGTACGAACGATTATTGAAAGTCAATGATCGATTATGACAGTTTTGGTCATAGTGATTTTTTTCGAGCACAGATTCACTTTTTTGTGATGTACACAAGTCGTTTTCAATCTGATGATGATTTAAATTATTATAAAAATCGTCACGAAAATTTAACATGATTGAGAAATCACGACATTTAATCGTTCCGTTTATTTGAATAAAACTTGGCCAGTTCCTTTTCCAGTTATGAATGAAGCGATAAAAATAAAGTATGTACGGAGTCATAATTCCGCTGTTCTAGTATTGAATATAATCACCAGAGCAATGACTTTTGAGAAGATTAGTGATGCAAGAATCATTATTTGCACATGGACAGTACTTCATTGCTCCTCGTGAGAGAGCACATTTTAATAAATATTGGCATCGTTCATAAGAACTGTACTCCGTCATATTTTGCTCATCATATTGATGAGAAGGATAACATCGTCCATTAGGTAATGTCCACAATGTTCTGTTGTGATGAATTTCACACATGAAATATTGGTCACGCCGATTGATACATTCAGGATTCTTCATTGGTGGTTTCTGAAAACCGAGTCGATCGACAATACATTGTCCAACGCCACATGACCATTGATCTGACGGACACATTCGATCATCACAATAAATATTCACTCCATCCAACGCACAATTTTCATCCCTATAATATTGTATTTCATCACTCCAATCCAAACAGTCGAATTCACCGTCCAGAAAATACTCTTCCGGAATACACATTCCATTCGTGCATCGATATTCATCATTTTCACATTCGTTGAATTCGAGCTTATCACAGTTTTCCTCATCGAATCCGAACATGCACTGTTGAATACCATCACAAATGTCTCGCCAATCGAGACACAAACGACCAAAATCACATTTCAATGTCGTGTAACATACGATAGAACCATACATCTGTTCCTTCCATGGATTTTGTTTTTTCATCTGTAATTCCCACTTTTGTGTTTCATCAAATGTTGTACCCATCGGTAGAAAATATTCACAGTTCTTTCCGAATGATTGTGAATTGGTACACTCACACAGATGTCCATTTGATTCTGTCGGATATAACAAATGGCGCGCGTACTCTTCTACCTTTTCAATGCTCGACTTCCATTCGTGTAATACGATACTGGTATTGGTCTTGTTCAATTTGAGATCGTGAAACAAATGATATGTTCCGTTATGATAACATTGTTTTGTTTCATTTTCACGTTGTAGAGATATGGGTTCCCGCGGACAACGACAGTATTGTAAACTTTGGATGTACACACAGTCATAATACTCGACAAATGAACCATCCTTAGTGTTGTACACATAAATTTCGTCTTCAGCAAATGGTAAAATAATCAATATGAGTATTATTATTGCAAACGTCATTGTTAATATTCAGAATCTCAAGCAATTTAATCCATTGTCTCTGAGACACAGTTTTCAAAGTCTTTATAAATGCTAACGGGTATACAATGTCCTGACGCCAATGTATTAATTTTATTGCCATCCGACACTCGTTCATCAAATATTAGTCAAGTAACATTTGAGAGTATAGTCGACGAGTTTTGTTTGATGAATAAATAATAAGAGCGCGCTTTCTACTCACTCTTTTTCACTATTAACATTTAAAAAAAGAGGAAAGAGATGATTTATTAGGGGTGTGGGTGGGTTCGGGTGTGGATGTGGGTTGGTATGGGTGTTGGTGGGTATGGGTGAGGGTGTGAATGTGGGTGTGGGTGTGGATGCGTAGGTATGGGTGTGGGCGATAAAAGAAGATAATACTAAACCCACACCCACACCCACACCCACACCCCACACCCACACGCACACTCACACCCAGGCC